TATGACTTATAGAGAAAGCTATTCCAGACTCCAGAGAATATAGAATTGTAAAGAACTAAAACTGACAGGCTGGGTCATTGTTTCAAAGATGTTTCCTTACTAAGCAGTGATACAGAATGAGCACAAGGTACGCATTGGATGGATTTGCACTATCTCTGGTGTAGTAACATCACGGTTCAGTTTTGGTTCAGCTTACAGTGCAAATCTAGACAGCTGGTTTAATTCAAGAAATGAATTGGTTACCTTTTGGTATGAACTCAGTTCATGCAATAGCAAACTTTGCACCAAGCTCTACTGTGTGTAATTGTCCCAAGAAAAAAAGGTGAAGAAAAAAAAATAGAAAAAACATAAAATGCGTTGCTAAAAAAAGGCACACATCCAAAAATATCTTTATATTTCTTTTAAACTTACCTATTTACACATTTTAATTTTTCCTCATTGTCAGGTCCATAGAATTATATACCTGGATAATTTATTGATTACATTACCTTTTAATAATTCTCTCATACTTACAAAATGGAGAATGGACATTGAGAAAAGATTAGGTATTTCCCTCTTACACAGTCTATGACTAAATATGAGAAAAATCGGGCATTTTGGCTAACCATAATTTCCTAAAAAAAATATTGCAACACCTTGAAAACTAAGAAAAATTTATGATCCCATAAACTGCCATGGCTCACAATCCATCAGATCTATATAACTGATGAGATGGACCATGAGCCATAAAACATTTCTGATAATAAAAGTGTTACTCTGCTATAAAATTATTTTTTTTATGTAATTGATCATTCAAAAAGTAGGAACAAATGAAATGCCTTAAGCCTTCCTGACCTAAACACTCTCTGGATTACAACCTCCCAAATTTTCAGCCCGCATGGTCAATGGGAATTGTAGTCCCAATAGATTTGAAAGACATCAAGTCCTGGGTCAGTTTTCCTCTGCTAAGTCCGCCAGCTGTTTCATCCAGCTGACTGTTCAGCTTGTGCTGATAAAACGTTGGGTTTTGAGGCTCTTTCCTATCACCTTGTACAAATCCATTTTAAACTAAGAAACTGGGGATGCTGAGAAGTGAAACTTTCTGACATGCAAGACAGATCTTCAAACACAGTAGATGGGAAAGAAAACAAGTGGATCAGAGAAAGCCGGACGATCGCTGATCCACCATAGCTCAGAACTCCCTATGAAGCACAGCAATCTCTGGGACAGAGATCTTAAGAAATCAAAGGAATCCCCCAAAGAGTGTAGCAGTTTGAGCCACACGTATTCGTATTTCTTCTTTAGAACATCCAGGAGCAGATGGTTGCTGGAGCATTTTAGAGTTGGCTTCCAAGCTATGTTGACAGTCTTCCTTCGCCATCTGGTGGCTGAGTGTCCTACTGGCATTAGGACGAGATGCCCCCTCTATTTGTTAGACACCCTGCCATGCTGTGTTCGTTCTGAAGGCCAGATGGACTAGTGGAAAATATTCACTTCAAACAAAGCTACACACCCAGGCAGTGATTTTAACAACAAACAGAACTGCTAGTTTCTTTCTGATGATATACAGGCAGCAAGGAGAATGGATCTTTCTCTAGGGATCCCTTTTGTGTATATTAATGTGCTCAGCTGAGGCATAATTCAGACAAGCAAGCATGGAAATAACCTCCATATATTTGGTAATAAACCTTTCCCCCGCCAACTCCCCCACTATTTCTAAAAATGCAAATCTGCAATAAAAGTCAGATACAGAGGCAGCTGCTGATGTTACAAAACAGGCAGATAGGCATCCACACATGTTTTGTAACACATTGCATATCCATAGTTATTTGTTTGTTTTAAGAAAATGAAGCAAAGGGGGAAAAATGAAGAGAGATAATTGAGTAAATGAAAGGCTTCTTCCTCATATTTGTCACTGGCTTGCTTGATTTGTATTTTTTGGTAAATAAAGAAAACATGATGAAGATACAATATTTCCAGTGTGATCTGATCCATCAGAAACCAAAATCTGAGTTTAGGGACCAACTCAGTAGCGGTAGTCCTTGACTTATGACCACAACTGAGCCCAAAATCTGTTACTGAGAAATTTGTTAAGTGAGTTTTGCCCCATTTTATGACTTTTCTCGCTACATTTGTTAAGTGAATCACCTAATCCTACGTAGCTTCTTCTCTGGTAATATCGCACTAGAGCATACAAAACATTTGCTAGACCAATACTTGAATACAGCTCATCAGTCTGGAACCCACATTACCTATCTGATATTAGCACAGTTGATAAAATCCAGAAATATTTCACAAGAAGAGTTCTCCACTCCTCTACTTGTTGCAGAATACCTTATGCCACCAGATTTGAAACTCTAGACCTAGAAAACCTAGAACTACGCCACCTTCAGAAGGTAGTATAGTATATAAAATCATACATTGCAATGTCCTACCTGTCAATGAATACTTCAGCTTCAACCATAACAGCACAAGAGCACACAATAGATACAAACTCAAGGTTAACCGCACCGAACTTGATTGCAGGAAATACGACTTCAGCAACAGAGTGGTCAATGTCTGGAATACTCTTCCTGACTCTGTGGTTTCTTCCCCAAACCCCAAAAACTTTAACCTTAGACTGTCTACTATTGACCTCACCCCCTTCCTAAGAGGCCTGTAGGGGGCATACATAGCGCACCAATCGTGCCTACTGTCCCTGTCCTATTGTTTCTTTTATTCTTCTTATATGTATCCATCTCATGTATTCAAAACTATCCTTATACCTGTATCTTGTAAGCGATTGACAAATCAAATAAATACTAAATACTAACACAGTTGTTAAGTGAATCTGGCTTTCCCATTGACTTGATTTGTCAGGTCACAAAAGGGGATCAGATGACTCTGGGACACTGCAATTGTCATAAATATTAGTCAGTTGCCAAGCACCTGAATTTTGATCATGTGACCCTGGGGGAGTGCTGCAACAGTCATGTAAAAAAATAAATGGTCATAACTCATTTTTTCAATGCTGTTTGTAACTTGGAATGGTCAATAAATGAACTATACCTATACTATACCTAAGGTACAGGACTACCTGTACCTTATCTACCTCTGTCTGCTGCCACCCATGACTAGGCCTCAGGGACTCAAGAGGGAACCCATGAAGAAGGTAGCACCTTTTCCTTCTTCAGGTGCAGTGATTTCCCTAACTGGTCTGATTGGTTCTCATGGTTTTGGCGGTTGGACATCTTGCTTTCCATCAAAGCAGCATTAGCTGTCCAAGGAGATGCAGCTGTGATTGTCAGCCCAACACACCAGGGCAGGCTAAGAAACCAATGCCATATAGGTCAGGACTACCTTTCTTGTAACCATTACAGTAACAAAATTTTGCAAATCTGAATGTGCCTCCCCCTCCCTCCCTTTTACCTTGGAGTGAACTGGGAGGGAATTATCCCAGACGTTTCCTTGAGTTGTTTTCTTGGCCTGGGCTCAAGCTCCTCTTATCTGCCACTGTGGCTATGATAGCATCTTTTCTTCCTGTGCTTCAAGGTCTATTCCCTGTATAAGGATTGATAGCAGCAGCATCAACATTCATAAGTCTTGTAATATAGATACTCCTACATTGGAATGTGCATCTTTTTGCCTGATATTGTTTTTAGACCTAATTAAATGACTTTAGGAAAGATTGTTCGTGACATATTCAAGAAGGAAAGGGAACAATGAGATACAATTCTTAAAGTTGTCCTGGTTGAGAAACACCACTATAGAGAACTCTCTCATGCACACATACATCAAGATTTGATTTTGGAGACCAGCGGCCTATACCCGGGGTCTCCAACCTTGGCAACTTTACGACTTGTGGACTTCAACACCCAGAATTCCTCAGCCAATTTGCTTGTCAGAAGCTTTGCTGGCTGAAGAATTCTGGGAGTTGAAGTCCACAAGTCTTAAAGTTGTCAAGGTTGGAGATCCCTGGGCTATACAACTAAAGACTTGTTTTCCCTCTACACTCCTCTTCTATAAGTTCTTTTTATTACTTATGTGTTGATTTACTTTAATTTTGTTTTCTAAAGAGGCAAACAACTTTGATAAAATACTGTTTTGGGTAACCCTATCTCTAAAACGGATTTCAGCGTGCTTAAACCAACCTTGCCCCTTTTAATTCTTTTCTCAAATTTGGAAATGGAATTTTGGAGGACAGTTACTCTAGCCACTATTCATGGAAGAAAGATTTGGATGACTTACAGCGCCTAAAGCATTCTTTTCTGCTTTGGAATGACGTAAAATCTAAGAGAAGTGACCCCTCAACAGGTGCTGGCCAGAGACTTGAAGGAGTTAACCTGGCTGGGAGAATGGACAATGTGACCTGTGACAAGGAGGGAGGGGAATACCTATTCTTTAATGATATGAAAACCGCAGGAAATAGTTAAGGGTTGGTTTTGTTTTCATGCATAGCAAAGTGCTGGCTTGGTTGGTTGGTTTCATCAGTCACAACCCTGACAACAATTTCTGAAAGCAAGCAATTATTCCATTGATTAATTGTTCTCACTGTCAGGTAATTTCTCCTTAGTTCTCGGTTGCTTCCTCTCCATGATTAGTTTCCATCCGTTGCTTCTTGTCGTGCCCTCAGATGCTTTGGAGAAGTTGGTTCGATGGGGTGAAAAAAGGCAGGCAATAACATCTCACTGGGCTGGGGGTGTGTGATGACCCAAGGTGGGATACAAAACAAACAGTCACAAAAAAACAGGTGAAGCCCCTTTTATTCCTTCAGTTTGCTCCCAAGCTCAGAATATCTTTGACGGAAGACAAAAAAAATTCCCACAGTTACACGAAGAAGAAAAAAAGCAACACAAACCAGGCAAGATAAGGGCTGGAGGATGTCCACAGATAACACACACTGGGAAGGACGCCAAACTCAGAGAGGAACTATAAACTAGAGATATTTACACGATTTGTTTCCAGAGTTTGCCAGTACACAGGTCCAAACTCTTATTCAGTTGTCACACCTGCAGCCCATGAAGAGGATCAAGGCCCTCTCCTCCCGAGTATCTCTCCCTTATCCTCTCCTCCCTGCGTGCCCTAGGATGGATAGGGCTTGGGTCCTCCTCTGACTGCCCAGCCAGCCTCTGCCCTTCCCCAGCCTCCTCCACAACCTCCGGAGCCACACTTCTACTCCCTGTCGGCTGTTCCTCCTCTCCCTCAGAGTCAGCCTCCACCAGGGGCATGACGGGGTGTTATGGTAGGAGACAATAGGCAGATTGGTCTTGAGGAAGATATAGGTGCTATCTTGCACCAATTCCACCTTGCAACCTGGTCATCAGATGCTCAAGGCCCGTGGGCTAATGCTGCTGCTGCTACTTAATGCCAGGTCAGCCTGTAACAAAGCATTGCTTATCCAATAACTTATTATCAGTTAGAGGTCTGACCTGGCATGTATTACTGACACCTGGATGGCATAGGAGATTTCCCTCTCAGAAATGTGCCCACCTGATTTTCACACGACACCAATAGTGACCCCCAGGCAGGGACAGAGGAACGGCTGTTGTCACCAGTTGTGTTTTAGAGACGGCCTGTAGTTCTTGTGGCTTTCAGAAATGCTGCTCCACAGATAATTAGATTTGAGATTTCACTTGTGAAGCTGAGCTGCAAGGAATGATGGCTATGGCTTAGGCCTCCCTGTGGCCTGTTCTAGGGGTCAAAAGTGGAGTTCCCCAAATCTGTGACACAGGTAGTCCTTGACTTATGACTATAATGGAGCCCGAAATGTCTGTTGCTAAGCAAGACAGTTGTTAAGTGAAGCTTGCCCCATTTTGCGACCTTTCTTGCCACAGCTGTTAAGCGATCACTGCAGTTGCTGAGTCAGCAATATGATAGTTAAGTGATTTTGGCTTCCCCATTGATTTTGCTTGTCAGAAGATCACTAAAGGTGGTCACATAACTGTGGAACACTGCAAACCATCATAAATATGAGTCTGTTGCCAAGCAGACAAATTTTGATCACAATTTTGACCATGGGAACGCTACAAAGGTCATAAATGGGGAAAACGGTCGTGTTACTTTTTTCATTGCCGCTGTAACTCCGAACAGTTGTCAAATTGAGGATTACCTGTACAGGGAAATTTCGAGGTGCCATCTCTATCTGGAGCTAAAATGGTTTTTCACGGCAAACATACCGTAGATGTGGGCCAGATCAAGGACCACAGACAAAGCACAGGTCATAAATTGAATCTGATTTTGGCCTTGGGACAGCAGCAATGTGATTTGGAATAAGGGCAAAGGTTATATTCAGCAGGTTCTGACCAGTTCTGGAGAACCGGTAGCAAAAATTTTGTGTAGTTTTGAGAACCAGCAAATATTACTTCTGACTGGAGATTTTATAGTATCCTTCCCCTGCCATGCCCACCAAGCCATGTCCAAAGAACCCACAGTAGTAAAAAATTTGAATCCCACCACTGAATAAGGGGGTGCTACTACAGGTAGTTCCTCATTCAGCAACTCCTATTGGGGCCAGAAACTCAGTTGTTAAGCAAACCACTCACTAAGTGAAACCGTGACTGTGCTTATGAACGCATCAGTTTTCCTTCGTTTTACAGCCCTGCGAAAGTCTTAAATGGAAGAATTGGTGGTAATGTTATTTTTTTTTTTATCACTGTTATACCTGCGAATAGTAGCTAACCAAGACATCACTAAATGAGGACTACTCGTATTTGTCCCTTATCACGGACAGATCGGTTTTTAATTGCTTTCAATCTCTCCACGCCTGTTTCATTAGAAAAGACCCCGATATTGGGAAAGATTGGAGATAAAAGAAGAAGAGGAGGGGATATCAGACAATGAGATGATTAAATATTGTCCTCAATGCAACGAAAATGAGTTTGGGCAAACTCCAAGAGAGGGGAGGACAAGGGAGCATGGCGTGCTATGGTCCATGAGCTCGGGAAGAATCTAGCATGACTTCGTGACTGAACAACAAAAATAACAAAATATTAAAAATATGACATTTCCCCTTCTTTCCCTCTTATACAAGAGAGAATGAAGAAGAGGAAATCTTGAGTTTCTTTCTCATACCTTCCTGAGTCCATACTTTTCCAAATGGTTGCGGTGTATCTTCTTCAAGCCAATGTGGTATTCCTTTACAGCAGAACCCATTTCATTTACATATCTGGGATGACATGTTAGGGTTGCTCTTGGGTTTTGGAGGGCACTGAGAAAACCCCGGGGAACTTGGTCACAATGCCACAGAAGCCTTAATCTCCTCTTAGAGTGAAAAGCAGGCACAGGCTTTGGATCAAATGGGCTGCCTCTTTCAGCGCAGGGTTTCCACAGGGTGCCCTGGTCCCTGGAGGAAGTCCTGGAGATGAAGTAGCAGAAGTGATGCACAGAGGCGTGGTGGAGAAAGATGAAATAAAATCTGAGGGGACACAGATCTCAACTACTTACTAAGGCTCTACTTACAACTACAACTGGGGCCAGATCTTCTGTTAAATGCACGGCAGCTGATTTTACAAGCCTTTTTGACACAGTCAAGCGGATAATTTTGGTTGTTAAGTGAATCACATGGTTGTTAAATGAATCTGGCTTCCCCCACGTGATGGTTAGAAGTGTGAGGAGCCATTGCAGTTCACTTTCTTCAGTGCCACTGTAACTTCATGTGGTCACTAAATGAATGGTTGTAAATTGATGCAATAAGAGTAACATAACATAGTTCTTTTTAACTATTATTAAGTCCATATATTGCCATCCTGGGGTCCCGTTTAAGGTAAATCAGTGTCTTTTAGGGAAAAGTGAGTCAGAAGTTCACCTGAAAGGAGACAATGAGGATTGTTCACAGATAGCATCACTTTGATTTGTTTTAATCGGAATTCTAGCTGTACGGTAAATCTGTACAGCTAGAATTGGTAAATCTGGTATTGTCCCTGGGAAGAGTTTAAGCTGTTAGTTTTGAGGAAATGATTAAGATTCTCAGATCTGTGACTTTGGCCAGGTATTCACCGGAGACATATCCTTCTTGGTTGAATCAGGCAGGTAGGACTTGCCAGGTGGCTGGGTTCAAGCAATGATGAATTCATCCCATGGGTTGGTTCTGGCTACACTAGAGGAAGTAAAGTTGGACAATTTCTGATACCTTGGCTGCAACTTCAGAAGGCTCTGGAGAAAATTGACTATTTAAATCCCTTCCTGCTGGATTTCAAGCCCAACTACAATGCTGAAGTAAGAGAGATCAGTCTTATGAGTGACCTATGGCAGGACCAAGATGGTGCATCCATCCCGATTCCTATTTGGATTTCTTGGCAGCTTTAAAGCCATCAAAGATGATGTCCTTCTGAATTACCTCAGAGGGTTGGGAATGAGAGGCACGTGGCTGCTGTGGTGATTTTCTTCAGGACCATTTCAGCTGTATTGATAGGAGGGCGGGGGGGAGAGAGAGAGAGAGAGAGAGAGAGAGAGAGAGAGAGAGAGAGAGAGAGAGAGAGAGAGAGAGAGAGAGAGAGAGAGAGAGAGAGAGAGATCTACTCTTTGACCTTTGCTCTATGGCATCAGTGCCCAACTTTTCTGGCTTGGTGGACTGGCGGGGGTGGGGAGGGGTGAATGGATAGTGCTATGCGAGTGGCAGGTGTGTGAGCGAGCACAATTCCATATGTGCCAGAAGCGGGTATGTATGCACCTGCCGTTTGTGCAAATGGAGCTGTGCTTATGGGTGCCTGCCGCTCACACGGCCCAATTCCGAATGGGTCCCAGCCCGGTCGTAACCAGTTTCTCAAGGCTTGGGGACCTCTGCTCTATGGGATGCCTCAGGCTCTCACTCACTCACTCACACACACACACACACATGCACACACACCTTCACTAGGCCTCCAGACAAAGCCATCTGTTGACATTAGGTAACATCAGCATGAGAGGAAGAGTGCCCCAAAGGGCTACCCTCTTAGATGCATGAAATTTGGTTAGAGGCCACTCAAGATGAGGGGAGCTGTGACATGACACATCTGCTCAAGAGCAAAGTATGTTGCACATCCTTTTGTGATCTGGTATTATACATTCCAACATCTCAGGAACTTTGGGGTCTGAATTAATCCAGATTCAGTCTCCAGATAGGTATGGGTCGGAAAATTCTGCCTGTTTTGAGTTCTCCGCTTTATGCTTACTACCCCTCCTCTTGTGTGTGTGTGCGCGCGCACACACACACACACACACACACAGTCTGCCAGGCTTTTTCCAAAGCCCCAAGGATTGTGGCTGCTTCTCCATGTGGCTATTAGCTGTTTAGCATTCCATCACGCACTCACTCTCTGCCCCCCCCCCCCCCCCCCCCCCAATCATGGCTAGGAAACCGGTGCCTTTACCGGCAACTTCAGACCTGCCAGGAACAGCTTAAAGCCCTGACTGCACATGATTAGCTCATAAACACCACCCAAGCCAGGAAGAGAAACACAGCAGAGTGCCAGGATGCCTGGGTTCTTGGCCAGGAGGGAGTAAGAGAAAGCTGGGTTTCTTTCCCCGATGCCAAGGCCCGTTGAAGATTTCTGATGAATCAATAGCTTTTGGAAGTGGACATCTTGAATGAGTGAGCTGGGGCCGGGCTGAGCATTAATGAAATGCAGAAACTCTGACCTCTTCCCATTTCCCACTCCTTCTGTTTTCCTCATGGGCACCCTCATTCTCTCTTGCGCATTCAGCTGCAGAGATACGGATATAAACACACTTCAGAGAAACAACCGTGATTCTGCGTTCAAAAGCATCACTCCATTATAATCCACGTGTTTCTTTAACTGCGCTAGAGACAACGTGATATTCATCCACTGAGCTTACCCTTCAGATGAGGGGTAGAAACAAGTTAGATTCTTTCGTCATTCGAAGGGCTTCACTAACAGGAATCAACAACGGTAATTTGAGGCACACGTACTGCAAATGTGCCAATTCTCCACAGATTCAGATTCAACACTGTGTTTTGTAGGATGGGAAAGTGTGGTGCAGTGGTTAAGGCATCAGGCTAGAAACTGGGAGCAGGGTGACTTTGAGCCACTCACTTTCTTTCAGCCCTAAAGAGGCCATAGCAAACCACTTTTGAAAAACCCTGTGAAGAAAACTATAGGGACGTATCCTGGGAAGTCTCTAAGAATAGGACACGGCTGAACAAAAACAACAAAAATGATATATAGATGTATTTACCAGTACCCAAACCAATATAAATATTTAACTCACAAAAGCAGGGGTCCCCCACCCCCATGGCCCAATACCAGTCTGTGAGTGTTGGAAACTGGGATGTGCAAGTAGTAGGTAAGTGTGCAAAGCTTCATTTGCACATGCACATGAACTAGGTTGCACTTGTGAAACCATCCACTCCACCCTCTTCACTGCTGCCGCTGCTGCTTACTCTACTACTGGTCTGTGGAGTCAGAAAGGTTGGAGATCCCTGTAGTGGGGACAATGCCCTCCTTCATACCCTGACTGTGGTACATCCTCTTAATGGGACCGACATAGGAGCATGTTCCCCAGTTCAGACATGACAAGAAAAGTCAGGTCCAACTTCTGCTGATTACTTGATTACTAATACTACTGTATGTATTAGTTTCTTCTAAGATGCTTTTTAAAACTTTCCAGTCTAGTAGAATGGTATATTAGCTGCTAGTACTTGGTAACTTGCAGTTTTTTTCCGCTGTGGGGACTGGTATAGTGGAAACTTCTGAGGTTGACTTCATCACTCCCTAACTTGTGAAGGTCCCTCAAAACCTGGTTATGAGCTATGGTGGTGCAGTGGTTAGAGTGCAGTACTGCAGGCTACTTCTGCTGACTGCTGTCTGTCTGCAATTTAGCAGTTCAAATCTTACCGGGCTCTAGGTTGACTCAGCCTTTCATTATTTTGAGGTGGATAAAATGAGGACCCAGGTTGTTGGGGGCAATATGCGGACATTGTAAACCGCCTAGAGAGGCTGTAAAGCACTGTAAAGTGGTATATAAGTCTAAGTGCTATTGATATTGCTACGCCGGCAGTCCTGGGAACCCCAGTGGATGGGAGAACTCATGAAGTGGTTCCCTTATTATTAACATCCATCGATTATAATCTCTCCCTATTGTAACTTTGCTTTTATCATTTCTAATTTTTGAAAATAATAATATATAATGGGTTTCACTAATGATTGTCTTATTTATTTACTGTTTTACTGGATTGTTGTACATCACCCAGAGTGACTTTCTGTGAGATGAGAAGCCATATAAGTTTGATAGATATAAGTAGCCAGACAGATGATAGAATGATGAGATAGATAGATAGATAGATAGATAGATAGATAGATAGATAGATAGATAGATAGAGCCTTCATCCAAATGCCAATTTAGTCCAACTGCTCAGTTTTACAAACTACGCAAAGATGGATAGGTATTATTACCAAGTTGGGCAATTCATATGGTATATATAATTTATATCTATATGCTACATGGAAATCCTTGTATGTACGTCTCTTTCATATTTACATAAATTGTATTATTTATTCAGAGTACACAAAGGCATATAGTATTACTCTGAAGAAAACACATATTAACCTGGCTTTTCCCAGGCATATCTTTATAATATATGTTTGCTATACTCCTATGTTTTCCATACTCATGAAAAAGCTTGATATGGTAGGGGGCGTGCATAAGCACACCGACGTGCCTACCGTCCCTGTCCTATTCTTTCTTTTTATTTTTCTTATATGTATCCATTTCATGTATTCATAACTATGTTTATATTTATACCTGTTATCTTGTAATTGTTTGACAAAATAAATAATATACAGAAGAAATACAGGTAACCCTTGACTTCATTTAGCAATCATTCGAAGTTAGAACAGCACTAAAAAAAGTGACTGGTCCTCATGCGTATAACCAGTGCAACTTCCCCATGGTCATGTGATCAAAATTTGGATGCTTGGCAACCATTTTAACAATGGCTGCAACATCCTGGGGTCATTCGTGACCTTCCCAGCTGGCTTCTTACAAGCAAAGTCATTAGGGGAAGCCAGATTTGCTTAATGACCACAGGATTCACTTAATAACTGCAGTGATTCACTTAACACTGGTAAAAGTGAACATGACTCACGTAACAACCGCCTCGATCAGCAATGGAAATTCTTGTCCCAACTATGGTCATATGCATAAGGGTAGGTATGCTTTTCCTGGCGTGCACTGCTGATACTCCAAACATATGCACTGATTTGATTTTAGGTGTTTCTTAAACATTTCAGTACAGCTTTTATGAGTATTTCTGTGGTCATACCTTTTGATTCAGTCGTGACTCCTGGGGATTGCATAGAAACATTACCTTAGCAATACAGGTAATCTTCAAATTATAGCCATTTGTTTAGTAACCTTTTGAAGTCGCAGCCCTGAAAAAAATGATTTAAGATTAGTCGCAGCACTGAAAAAAGTGATTAAGATCATGCAACCATGGCAGCATCTATTGGTCATGTGATCAAAATTAGGGCTCTTGGCAACTGGCATTTATTTATGAAGGTTGTAGTGCCCCAGAGTCTCATGTGATCACTTTTGTAACTTTCTGATGAGCAAAAATCAATAGGAAAGCCACAAGCCAGGTTCACTTAACAACCGTGTTACTAACTTGACAACTGCAGTGATTCAGTTAACAACTATGGCAAGGAAAGCCATAAAAAGGGGCAAAACTCACTTAACAGCTGTCTTGTTTAGCAACAGAATTTCTGAGCTCAATTTTAGCTGTACGTTTAGGACTACCTGTATTTTTGGAAGTGGTTTGCTACTGTCTTCCCCACCCCCCCTCTCTGTGGCTGAAAAGAGAATGGCTGATCAAAAGTCATGTAGTTCATGCTCACTCGTGCCTAGGGCAAGATAGGAACTCAGACCTCCCTGCTCCTAGTCCAGCCCCTCATCCAAAGGGCACACCGGCTCTTCAAAACAAATGTACAAACTCATAATATAAAGGAGAAAATGTGTAGGCAGGCAATCTCAATCTGTTCTCCATAGGTCCCAAAGTGCACGAGCCTCCCACTCCCCTCTTTGGAGGAAAGTTGATCAGCCATCTGTTGAGTGTGGGCAAAGCTTTTAATCCTGCAGTTATTCCAAAATATTCCACCTATTATGGATTTCCATGTATTCTTTTTACTATTTTCAAATGCTCCTGTTTTAGCATTGCCTTCTTCATTTTGCTTCAAGTGCGCCGAGATGTAACACACACACACACACACACACACCTTCTCCTATTCAAGTGCATTGATTTTAGCCTCTCTTTACTATTCAAGGGTCATCAGTGGACTGAAATAGCGTAAAGCCATTAAAAAAAAGCTGGAGCTGGTGAACTCAGGAGTGAGTTTGCAAATTGTTGTTTATTATGCTTTTCCCACCTGTCTTTTTCAAGCAGTTCAATCTGGGTCTATCTTTAGTTTTCACAGGATGGAGTCTGTGTGTGTGTGTGTGTGTGTGTGTGTGTGTGTGAGAGAGAGAGAGAGAGAGAGAGAGAGAGAGAGAGATTCAGATCTCCCAAGACTTAGCCAAGCACAACACCATGTTGTAAAGCTGTGTATCTTACCCATCTAACTTCAGATATTTGAACCAAATCCTCACCCAGCTCTCTAGCTACCATGTCACACTGCAAAGTAATAGTAATGAGAATGATACCAGTACACAAAATATTTGCCTATGGTGTTCTATGACATATTCAAAGCCCTTCATGCTCAGTTTATTCTAACCTTTACAGCAGGATAGGAAAATCAACGTATTATCTCCATATTCAAGATGGGGCAGACAGGGGCTGAGGCTCTGTCCAAAACCACATCCTTCTTAGTTTGCACAAGAAGCTAGTGTAGTTCACATGGGTGGTCATCGGGTTGTGAAACAGGCGATTCCATTAAGTTGTAACATGATTGATGTCTTTGTACGGGCTATGGCATGTAAACAATCCGGATTCAAGGTTTAGCTTAGCGTGTTGTGTGAATCTGGCCATGAAACATCGTGCAAGCAGCGATCTTCGAATTGAGCCTTTCAGTTGTTGCAGCTGGGACGCTTCCATCCAATCCACGGAACTCTCTCCACGGAGAATCCACACACGCGAGGTGCCCCTTTCGTGCACCGATCCAAACTGCCCGCATTCACACCGGAGGCCCGGGTCACACAAATGCACCGCACATACATACACCTTTGCCCCCAAAACAACCGCCCCCCCCTTTTCGCTCGCACGTCTCTTCCCAGAGGACTTAAGAGTGAAGTGGGGGGGGGGAGGGAGGCGAGAGGGCAGCTTGCCATTGGTCGCTTCCTCGACCTTTTTCACGCCCCCCCCCCCGCCTCCTTGCACCGTGAGGGTTAAAAAGGAAAGGTGCGCCGCTTCGGGCGAGCGGGGGATCTCCCTCCAAAGGCCCGATCACCTTACCCAACCCGCCTTCCACTGCAGAGATAGGCGGAGGCGGGAACCAACTCGCATTCCCCTCCTTCTTACCAACAGTCCCTCACACTTCCAGGAATCACCCAGAGGGGGGAGAGGAAAAAAAAAAAAAAAAGCAGCAGCAGCAAAAGGGGAGGGGGAGGGAACGCACGGGGTTGATACAGCCACTTCCTGCCAATCAGAGCCCTGTCAGCCACTCCCCAGCGACCAATGAAAGTGGCGACCATTCATAAAAATAAATACTCGGCCACGTTCCCCCCCCACCCCCGTCCCCAGCCAGTAACACACACACACACACACACACACACAGGTTCGAGGCATCTTTGCCTCTCTGTGACAAATGTACATGTTTTCCATACATATATGCATATCTATATATACATGCAAAGACTATCCAATCGGAGCCGCCGAACGATTATTGCAAACTCTTAGGCACTTTCTCCCCAGCCATTTAAGCTTCTCTCTCTCTCTCTCTCACTCACTCTCTCTCTCTCCCCCCCCCCCCCCCCCCCCCCCCCCGCGACGAGATTGTATCCCAAGTCGTCGGACACCAACCCTCCCCCCCACCCCCTTCGCTTTCTCCGATTCCTCCGCTAACGGGAAAGGCGCTTCTCGGTTCAGAAGCGCGCACGTACGTTCACACGCATTTCCAGGAAACCAGAGAGGGGCCGCGATTCTTTGGCCAAAGGAAATAGATTGGCGCTGTTCTTCCACCCTCCTCCTCCTCCTCCTCCATTTCACTCCCCCACCCCAACCCCAGCCCCGTAAACTTCCACCTCTTTCTACTCTTCCCTGTCCGAACTGGGGAGAGCAAAACCTCCCTCCGAGACCATCCCGACGCTCGGGTGCGCCTTCGCCCACCTCCATCCTCCCGCCGCCGCTCGAAAGATGGGAGAAAGGGGCAACCGCTCTGGACTCGCTTCCCGCAGCCCAGCCTGCAAAGCCGAGTTTTAAACCGATTTGTTTGCCCCCTTTTGTTCTCCCACTCGTTGGAGAAACCCAGGCACCGCTCGGCTTTCCTCGCCAACCAAGGTAAGTTTAGCAAAACTCTTTGGGCTTTCGCAGCGGGTTGGGGGGGCTGCGAAAGTTGGGAAGAAGAGAAAACCTGCCCCAGCCACTCCTAAACAAGAAATCGGCTCCCGGACTCTCGGGGCTGATGGAGGAGTATGGAAAACTCTTCCGTTGCTGGTTTATTTGGAGAGTAAATTGAGGCGGGAAGTTCCAGTCTGGCTTTAGCGCTTAATTACTATTATTTTTTAGGATGGGGGATGGAAGACCACCCTTAGGCTGCCGAATAAGTATAATAACTCGAAAAATCAGATTCTGTATGAACTTTGAATCTGGCAAAATTCAAATTAACGTCCCAGCGATTAAGTCCCGCCGAAGCTTAAGCTGCTTTATAAGATTAGGAATGCCACAATGCAAAATAGCCAACTTTTCGTAGTTGACGCCCTCTCAACTTTTAAACCTAACAGCATGCATGGCTAGGAATCCCTGAATGTGTCTGTCTCTTTGTGTGTGGTAAAAATAACAACTGTATTTTACATAGATTTCATGCAAGTGGGTTTTTACTTCCAACACCAGACTAAAGCTGTAATAAAGTTTTGTTTACCAGCCACGATTTTCCCATTTCTTTCATTACTCTGCAACTATTCACTAGCAGCCTCCTCTTTCTTCACATTATTTCTCATCTGCAGTTAAGAGAAAAGAATAAAAGCCAACAACAAAAATCAAGCAATTTGTAGAACATCATTTAGCCTGGAGAAGATCTTGGGTTTCCATCCCTTGCAGCTGTATCTGTGGGAGAAAATTTGTGGAGGAAGCCGCTGCTTGATTTTTGTTCAGACAAGCACAATTTAAAGTAGAGGATCCTTTAAACCTGCCTAAAAGGAGAAAATATTTCCTATGTAACTGGAGAATTAATCATATCAACTTTGTTTTAGTGTAAAGAAACTGAAAGTAAATTTAGTGAGATAGGATACAAATAGTCTTTGATTTATGAACCACAGTTGAGCTCAAAATTTCCATTGCTAAGCAAGATAGCTGTTAAATTAATTTTGCCCCATTTTATGACCTTTCTTATCACAGTTGTTAAGTGAATAACGTGGCTGTTAATTGAATCTGGCTTCCCCATTGACTTTGCTTGTCGGGTCACAAAAGGTGATCACATGATCCCAGGACACTGCAGCCATCATAAATGTGTGCCAGTTTGCCATTTTCTGAATCTTGATCACTTGGGGATGATATTTATGAAAAATTATGCCGCTTTTTTCAGCGGTGTAATTTTAAACCTTCACTAAATGAATGGTTGTAAGTCAGAGATTACCTGTGTGGCCTCAAAGAACAGAGTGGCCCTGGGTCCAGAAAAAGTGTGCATTTTTTTGTTTAAAGTTGCAGCCCAGTTCAAGCTAGCACAGTAAGGTTTAAAATAATCCAAGTAGATGTTCAAAAGATGTCTCCTATTGTATTCTCATTCTGTTGAACCATTCAGGATTTAAGAGTTCTTTTTCAGTGGGTGATGATCATTTTTTTTGTCAAACCTTCTCTAATGACAAAAACGTTCTTCTCTCCATCACATAGAACTTAGTCTGATTGTATACTAAATTTATTTGTTTGTTTGTTTATATCCTGCCTTTGTTATTTTTGCAAATAACAAGGCAATGAACAGATCCAACACCCTTTCTTCCTCCTATTTCTACCTCCCCCACACAACAGCCCTGTGAGGTAGGTTGGACTGAGAGAGGATGGCCCAGTTGGCTTTCATGGCGAAGAAGGGATTTGAACTCAACATCTCCCACTATGTAGCCTAGTACCTTCATCACTAGACCAAACTGCTTCCCAATGGTGGAAATTTCCTCTCAATACACAAAATATAAGATGAAGAAAGGTACGTCTCCTAGAATTATTGGCAGATAAGAAGAGTGACTCATTCAGAGATTGAAGAGCCTCTTTTGAGAGGAGGTGCTTCAGGCTATAGGAGCTGTCACTAGTTGCTTGTACATCAGTACAAGCTATTGATTTATTTAGCCTGTTAATGTCAGTTCTTGCTCTCTTCTACTTGCTACTCAGTCCGTTTCTAAATGGAGATGACAAGGGCTGAACTAGGACCACCTCTATTAATGTACTTAAGCTCCCTTTCTCTGCTCTCCTTATATTTTCTGTTGCACAAATGGACCACGGCTGGGGGAGTTGATTCGTGTCCAGGACTTGCTTATCTGAGCAGATGATAATTCAGAGGATTTTTGGAATTGGGAGAGACTAGCAAAGAATTCATATCCCAGAGTTCATCATCTCCCATGTTGTTTTGTCTACTGGACCAGACTGTTTAATTCTGCTGGCAGTTAAACAGATTCCTTCTAGGGTGTAATGGGGAATGACCTAAAGTTGATGAGTTTTGAGTCCAGATGCTACTCCCCTTAAAATGGGCCACATTTTCCTGTGTGAGGCTACTTCAGGGCATGCTTTTTTAAACAATTTTTTTTTTAAAAAAAACCCTCACATGGGATTGCATTTGCACAGAAACAATAACTCACTTGGGTTTTTCAGGAAGAATCTGTGAACCGGATATTGGTATCTTACTGCTGTGAGATTATGACTCTTCAACTGTGCTCTCTTCCCAGTAAAGTATTATTTACAATTAGTTAAAAACATTTTTATGTAAGAGTTTTCCATGCAGATAGTCCTCGACTTACAAGTTCATTTAATGACAGTGCAAAGTTGCAACAGCACTGAAAAATGTGACTTATGACTGTTTTTCACAGTTACGACTTTTGCAGCATCTTCATGATCACGTGATCAAAATTCAGATGCTTGGCAACTGTTTCATATTTATGACCGATGCTGTGCTCCGAGGAAGAGGTATGGGTATAAACACACAACAGCAGAAATTTGGGGCTCAATTTTGGCTGTAAGTAGAGAACTACCTATAATGTCCTCATTTTTTGTGTAGTGGTTTAAGGCACCAGATTGGAAAACAGGAGACAGGTGAATTCTAGTCTTGCCTTAGGCATGCAGCCACCTGGGGCATTTTGAGCCATTCTATCCCAGCCTAGAAAGGAAGTAATATAATAAGAAACACAAGTGCAAAAAAGGTCAGAAAAAATAGAAAACAAAAAAGATAAAGAAGAGGCTTCTAATATTTACAGAGTTATAAATACAATTTCTCCAAAATCATAGAGATTGTAGATTTCTAAATGCAGGGAAATGTTAATGAATATGAGCTATCAAATATGCCATCTTCAACCTACTGCTTTTTAGTGAAATAGTCCCAGAAATATTTTCACCCTGGTGCTTATTAATCTGAGATTAGTTTTAGAGTTGAAGTTGATGATACTCCTTTTGTTGGTGGTATTTTTGAATTAAAATTCTTTGCTTGCAGGGAAATAGATAAAGAATTTTAATACATCTTATATTCTTCCTGCCAAAGATTTATTTAAAAAAACCATGGTAGCAATAGGATAATAGGCCTAATTCTTATTTACCGGGCTGGTTACATGAGAATATTTTAGAATGTGGTATAGATGAAGCCTTCTATCCAGAGATTCAAGAGGCAAAACTTAGGGTAATATATATTATTCATTATTAATTAGAATTAATTTATTAATTAAATACCATTCTAAGATAAACCAAAAGCACTAATGTTACTAGAGGAAATGAAATATCTGCAAGGAGAATGCCAAGATCAGAGTTCATTAGGAACCCAAGCATTCAATCCTGATTTATGTAGATTTTCCATTGTTGCAATTATTTTTATCAGTACTTTTAGAGGAAATAAGCTTAAAAACAAAAAAACATGATAAAATATTGCCCAAGGCCAGACATTCTCTTAGATTCTGAGCAGCTCTTGTTGATTTCATGAACATGGCCATTTCAGTTTTCTTGGCAACTATATACTAGTGATTTTGGTCAGTTTTTTTAAGTTGTTGCTTTTATTTTCTGCTCTAGTTTTAAGCCATGAAATTCCCTGAAAAATTATTATCCAAATCTCGACTAGGACTCACCCTGCTTAGCTTTGGAGCCTATATAAACTTAGACAAGAGCTGCTACCTGAAAGTCTCCCAGGATCTTAAGATATGTCAATAAGAGGCATTTTATAGGATCAGAATGAAGATTTAAGAGTAGGCTTTCTTAATCTGATGGTACAGATACAGACTAACAGAGTTGAAAGGGACCTTGTAGGTCATCTAGTCGAACCCCCTCCCCAAGTGGGAGACCCTACACCATTTCTGACAGATGGCTGTCTGGTCTCTTCTTGAAAGCCTCCAGGGATGAAGCTCCCACAACTTCCGAAGGCAATTTCTGTTCCATTGGTTGAATGGTCTCCAGATTCATTATACTACAACTCCTATTATCCCCGGTTGACATGTAATAATGAAAAGTTGTATCCAATGCATCTGAAGGGTCACCAGGTTGAAAATGCCAAATGACTTACAGATAGTTTTTGACTTACAACCATTAATTACAAGGACTTATGACCACTCTTGCAATTATCCCAACATCCACGCAGTCACAGGATCAAAATGGGTACCTCTCACTTAATGACTTCACTGTTTTAGTGATGGAAGTTCTGGTCCCACTTGAAATCTAACTATACCACTTACAAATCCGTAAGGGCAACAATTTGAGAGCATGCAGACGTCGGTCAAACACACAATGTGTCATTCTAATTTTTTGCTTCCTGAAAACATTTGGCAGGAATTGCAGTAGATTTTCTCAAAAACTACATTTCATTGCAGGTGACCCTGGCTGATCTTGAAAAGTTAAGTTGGACCTGCTTAGTGTTCAAATAGGTGACAGTTAGGAAACCAAGGCTGGCCATAGCTAGATGAGGAATTTGAGAAAAGATCTCACCCTAGAAGAAAATCATGGTGAAGAACTTCTGTGTTCTTGTCAAGAACGCAACATGGACATGTTGGCTAGGCAGCCATTAGACATCAGAGTCAACTGGGAAGGGTCTTTTGTCTTTTCTTTCACAAGCTGCGGTCTAGTTTTCTTTGCCAATCCTGGACTGGCTCCCTTCTCCAGTTCTGCCTTTCAGTGGATTGCTGAGTTAAACTTTTTCTCTTTGAAGGACCAGTTAGTTCTTTCAACCAATAACAAGCCTTCCGATTATGAAACAGATTCCTGCTTTCTCGGGCCTAAACATGTTCTGAGTTACGTAATAGTTTCAAAACCATCTTGTAATGGAGATCGACGGTGAGATTAAACACTTTTTAAAGAAGTTAAGTTGATCAGAAAAGGAAGCTGCCATGGTTGGGCTCTTAGCAAGTGAAGTGTCCGAGCTCGATAGCAAAAAAAGAAAAGAAAAAAAGGAAAGGGGAAGCAATTGTTAGCAGTCCAACACAAAGCAAGTGGAAGAGGCCATTTCTGAGAATTCTCTCAAAAACTGCCATAAAATGAAAAAGTAGCAACTCACACCAGAAGTTGGAATAACATTCACTTCCATGCTGTGCTTTCCATTTTGGGGAAATTTTATTCTGGGGCATTTTAAACTGGATCCTCCCTCCGATTTCCATGTCTGATCTTCTGGTTAGAGAATAAATTGCTTACAAATCTGATCTCAAACTGCTGTCTACAAGAGATTGATCTTGGGGGGGAAAAGCCTTCATCAATTGTGGATACTCCAATACTAGAGGTTTTCAAAAAGAGACCCATGTATCTACCTTGGAAGGATGGAAGGCTGAGTCAACCTTGAGCCAGTCAGAATCAAACTGCCGGCAGATGGCAGTCAGCAGAATTAGCCTGCAATACTGCATTTTAATCAATGCTACCACAACTCAATTAATTGAGTCAAACCCCATTTTATGACTTTTTTTTTGCCATAGTTAAGCAAGTCACTATATTTTTTAAAGTGAATCATGTGGTGTTAAGTCAATCTGGCTTCTCCCATTGACTTTGCTTGTCAGAAGGTCCCTAGGAAGCTTGCAAATGACAATTTCAAGACCCTGAGATGCTGCGACCATTGTAAACATCTGAACTTTGATCATGTGACTGAGGAAGCTGCAACAGTCATAAGTGTGAGAACTGATTATAAGTCATTTTCAATGCCATTGTTATTTTGAAAGGTAATTAAATGAATGTTGTAGGCTGAGGATTACCCGTACCAAATATTTTGACTCACCTGGCCAAACCAGGTTAAGACCCTTGATGCAAGTGATGTTCAGGTCCCTCTCTGTGAATTGACTTTATTTTCCTTTTCAGATGCAGCTCTGATAAATGATCAAGCTGTCCACTAGTTAATTGGTGGCGCGATGGTCCCCCTATGCTGTTGCTGCCCGCCGGCATCTGCACCAATCGTGGTGGCCATGACAGGCCCTGCTGCCCCTTCCTACCATTTCAAGAGTTTCTGTGGAGAGTTTGAGCGGGTGGAAAGTGCCTTGGAACGATTGGAGGCCAGTGGCTTCTACTGGGGCAGCCTGTCAGGAGCTGAAGCCAAGAGGCTGTTGACTTCCCAGCCTCCTGGCGTCTTCCTGGTGAGAGATTCCTCCGACCATCATCACCTCTTCACCTTGAGTGTCCGCACCAGGACAGGCATCACCAACCTGCGTATTCAGCAGCAGGACTCAGCTTTCCACCTGGAAGCCTTGCCAGGAGCTGGCCATCCCCCAACCTTCAGTTGCGTAGTCCAGTTAGTTGAGTATTATCTCTGCCTGGGGGCTGTGGAAGGGGGTCCCTGCTACTTGGAGAGGGAGGGTCAGCCTCCAGTACCTTTGGCCCTCTCACAGCCACTCCGTTGCAAGGTTCCCACTTTGCAGGAGCTGTGTCGGCGGGCTCTCCGAGCCAGCGTGCAGGGCAGAGGTGACACCAGAGCTCAGCTGCAGAGGCTGCCAGTCCCCCAGGCATTATTGAACTCAATCTGCAGCTAAAAGGAAGCACCTGTTTAAAACCTTTTAATGAATGCGGAGTTGGGGCCTTCCTTGTTAATATGAGCAGAGCTGGTTGTAGATAGTGTACTGCTGATGCACCACTATATTCTTGGAACATCTGACAGATAAGCCAACCTTTGCATTGTGGAGCTGTTTATAATGAGCCTTCCAAAAGCTACTGAAAATTATCTGAAAAAGGGATTGGCAGAGTAGGTTAGTCATCGATAAGGAAATGCATATCCTATATAATCCCCTTCCCCGTTTTTCCAAGCTAGCCACTTCCACATTTCAAATGCTTCTTGAGCACAGGTAGTATAGCAGAAAATCTTTATCCATAGGCAGAGCTGTCTTAAGCACCTCCCAACTATTCTCATCTTTAGTTGAAAGTTGTTGAAAGGTGCAGTTTGTGTGAAATGGTCCCGTGACAAATTATCTCTGCTAACTGTACAAGGAACATCTGTCAAGTCTGCAGCAGCACTACCCAGTAGTGAAGTCAAGAATGACAGAATCCATGTTTAGCTGCAACCATTGTGCATCTTTCTCTACAAACTCTCAGGAGGACAAGAAGATTGTACACCCAGTAACAAGAATGTTTGAATCCACAACCAAGATCCTTCTCTGGTTTCTTTCTTTAGAATATAGATAACCCAAGGCCAGTCTGAAGGCAGATTTTGAGCAATAAGCCACACTGCACCAAATGCACAGCAGTCCTCTCCTCTTCCGCCATTTCCACTTTGACCACTGTGTGATCCTAACCTCTCCTTCCCCCATTTCCAGTTACCGCCTTTAGTAAAGGTCATTACTGTAACTTGACAGCTTTCAAGAATGCTGACTCAGAAACCAGTTACGAGAAAGTTCAGCGACTTGAGTGTTTTTATAGGCAGCCAGCAGATATACCACTCAAGGGTGAGGAAGAGACCAGTCTCTGAGGAAACAAGACTTCATAATAAAGGGACAATGGAAGAAAAACAAAATCCCAAACCTTGCGGCACAAAGGTTAGAAAATGTGATCGCAGATGGTAATTTTGTGTAAAACTTTCGCTAAGGTAGCACAGTTCAGTGATACTCCACTCTTAAGAACTATTCAATTTTTAGTCCTAAATTTAATGTTTTTAAGGAACCTAAAAACTCCTGCTCTTAAATAAACCTTGATCATCTGCAAACTGGCTTGATTCTTTGCTTTTGAGTTCATTCACAATTTCTTACTGGAAAGCCAGACCTCTTCCTGGATCCTACTGGGAAGCCCAGCCAATTCCTCTCCAACAATAGGTAAAAAGTATATGTTTTTATTGGAGGCCAGTTTGCTTTCCTGCTTCCTGAATGAAAGTATCAAAGCTTGCAAGAGGTAAAAGTTAGCAGTAAAAGAGATCTGCCTTTGGGACAGATCCTAGCTTATCTCCTCTATTTTTATTGTTCACCTTTGCACTATTTTTATCTGCAAGACCTTACCAATAACCTCTTAGAGGAAAAGGAGTAGTTTATGTGTGCAACCATTTTGGAAAATTTCATTTGGGTCAGTACAGAAAAGTATAGAGAACAGAAATTGAGGGTGCAGAAAATTGCACGTCAGGAATGGCCTCTCCGGTTCAGCTTAAATTTGGCAAGACAAACAAAAGAATGAGGTGAAAGGGAAGAAACTGAACTCCTGAAATTATGATTTGGAGTGTGTTGTTGAGTCGGAGCTAAAATAGTGTGAGGGAAAGAATCGTGCCCATGTGTCATTCTCAAAACAGCCAGGCCTGTCACTTTTCTCCCAGCTCATTTGCATTGCCAACCTTCCTCTGCTCCCTTCTCATATTCTATTTCCCTTTGTGCAAGAAGCAAATATCTCAATCGGGGAAGCCGACACTGAATTCAGAGAGCTCTCATTGCTGGGTGAGCAGAGGCAAGAAAGAACATGTTCAAGTTACCACAGGTTCATAATTCTCATGGACTACAGGATGTTATCCAAATACTTTTTATTGGATGGCGTAAGATAGGCTCAGTGGCCCACCGATTTATATGGCAGGAAAGCCATATTCTACATTTTAATCTTCCTCTTCATCATCTGCACCGCCAGCACCGCCCTGGCCCTTCTTAGCATTCTTCCTCTTGACGCGACCTGGTCGGCCTCCACCGTAAGGTGAACGGAGGGAGAAATCAATGTGCTTTTGGGAATCTAGCCGGACAATGAAGGAAGGGATGTTCACCACTTGCTTCCTTACACTAAAAGGGAGAGAGGAAATGATTAGATTAGTGAATAAATAATCTCGTCAGGAACTCATGGGAAATATTTGACAAACCAAACAAGCTCTACAAATATTTCCTGAGTTCACAGCCTACCCTTAACATTCAGAAGTCAAAGCCCCATCGGCCACTGGCTTCAGGGTTATATGCAGAGTGACTGCATAAGGCTTCTGGATCCATTTGGAACCTAATTTCACTCAGGAAATCTTTGTGCTCTGTCAGCTTGGTTGTTTTCTTGCTAGGTAGCATCACAAGGACCCCTCATTTCAACACTGAGCTATTCTCTATCGGGAGTTTCAATCTTGAAAGGAGCAATCGTTACTAATAATTTATAGAGCAATCAGAATGGTGTTATTGCTGTCTGAACAATAACCTATTCAGGCAAGAAACCTTAACAATGATCAAATTTTATGCTTTGTATTTTTAATCAGGCTTTATCCACCAGCCTCTCCAAACCATATAAAATTGCCTTGCCATTGCAAGTAAGGTATATATTCAGTGCTAGGGGAAAAAAAAAAAAGCAAAGTACCAGTTCTAATTTGCCAGTTCCAATTTGCAAGTAAACAACAGACCCTATCATGGCCTTTATCTCACCATACATATTCAGTACCCTAGAATCCTATACTAATTTACAAAACAGATATGGAACTACATTGCAGAAGTAGCCAATGCACCATGGAAGAAACTGTCTTATATGTAAAAGTTGCTGTTACTGCATATAATAGATAAAACCTACAGCTGGTGGAAAAATCTATGCTTAATTAAGGAAATGTAGTCCACCAGAAAGTCAAACTACAACTCTTGGCAAATTTTTTTTTTTTGCTGGGGTTGCTTACTGGAATTTAGCAACTGAAGACAGTAAACATTTCCTCCAACTCCTGTTGCAAAATCCATCAATTTACTTGTACAGAAGGATCTTATCAGGTGACTGCTGTGGTTGCTAAGTAGAAGCAGTACTTGGTGTTACCTTGACCACCTATGTAGCAGACCTTCACAAGGTGTACGGCCAAGCCGCAGTGAACCTTGCCGAAATCTTTGAGAGTTGCTTTGACACTGCTAGTCTATTGAGCTATCCAAGGAATCGATCCACAAAAGGGTTTGGTGGTATATAAAGGCCCAAGCCAGGGCCGGGGCCACAGTTATCACTGCACAGGCTATATATAAAAGATATTGCAAATGTTATTTCAGAAGTACATGTTCTGATGCTAAATGTCAGCAGTTCATAGTTATCTTAAACTTTACACTCCCCAAAATTTGGCTTTCAGCAGCATACCGGATGTGTCTCTGGCGGATAAGAACACGAGCATGATGGATGGACTTAGCCAGGCCCAATTTGAAGACCTGGGTTTGGAGACGACGCTCCAGGAAATCCTCAATTTTCAGACCCAGGATGTAATCCAGTTTCATTTTCCCTTCATCCAGCACCCCAATTCTGACCAAACGGCGTAGCAAGGCATTGCCTGAGAGAAATTTGAGACATCAACAAACTGAATGGGTCTTTCTACATGTTAAAAGAGACCATGTTAAGATTAGCATATTTATGGATACAAAATTGAAAAAGAGGCAACCATCACAGTTAACTGGCTATGCAAAAAATACAAATTAAGCAATCCCAGGATATAGAAATGGTATTGGGACAAGAACAGCATCAGGGGTAGATTATCAATAACTGCATGTTTCCAACTGAGCAGAGACTTTGAGATTAAAATTCAAATCACACCTCAACATTAGCAGCACCCTTGTTTGCAAAACATATTTAGTTCAGACTGTTCTGTCAATTCTCATCAACTGACTCAAAAATTGATACACCAGAAACCTTACCCATTTATTTCAGAAAGAGCCCAGTATCTTAGCAAGCTCTTATACAAGGCAAGTAATAGTGCTTTCATTACTCAGGCTGGCAAAGTACAGGCTTGGCCACTGTAGCCAATCTGTTTCTGTCTGGTATTTTCTTACCTTTCTGACCTTGGTAGTGAATTTCATAATAGAAGATTGTTTAAAACTTTTTTTTAAAAAAAGGATGAGGCATACAAGCTAGAAAGGGTATAGTTTAAGCTTGTCATAACTAGGTCTGTTTACAACTAAATTCAACTACCAGTGGTAAACTGATTGGCTCAATTAATCCCTTTTGGGTATTTCCATCACACATCAACTCTCCTCTCCTGACCCCATTTAACATGTTGTGAAAACCAGGCCTTTGTATAATCTTATAACACATACCACCTATCTTATAATCAGATTAGTGACTTACAAAGCTGGTATGAGGGGAAAAAGTTAAATATATCAAGGTATTCAGCAGCCTTCAAGTGAGTCATAAGTCCTGAAAGCAGCAGCGCCACCAAAGCTGTTGTTCAGTATCTAGTTTTGCCTATTACCTTCAAAAAGGCGCCGCTGATCTTTCTCATCTAGGGTGAGCAGCTCTCGGGCAGCTTTGCGGATCTTGGCCAAAGTGAACTTCACTCGCCATACCTCACGCTTGTTCCGCAGCCCATATTCACCTAGTAAAATAAATCTGAAAGTTTTAATGCAGTTACTTTAAAGGTCACAGCGCAATCAAGGACAGATCCTTTTGTAAGGTCTTCTCAGGATTAGCCCTATTCCCTTGGAAAAACTTGTTCTTGATTAGCACACCTCTTCCATTGTGGTATATTTTTTTTAAAGTTTTATAAAAGACATAATATAAACTAATACTGAGCAAAAGCAATAAAAAAGAGAAAGCCTGCAGAAGGAATCAGAAAGAAAAAATGGAATCAATTTCCTTTGTACTGTATATCACAAAGCCAGTTTGATGTAGTGGTAAAGGTGCTGATCTACAAACCAGGAGGCTGTGATTTCTCAGGCAGGAAAGCCAGCTTCATGACCATGAGCAAGTCATCTCACTCCAACCCATCTCACAGGATTGTTATGGGGAAAATAGGAGGAAGGAGTATTATTTGGTATATTCACTACCACCTTAAGTTTATATATTTGTATGTAGGTGTGTATACACACCTGGTCTTATTTTCTTTTGGGTCCCCAAATAAGCACCAGGTTGTTGTTGTTTTTTTTGAGGGATGTCTTATTTGCTTACCTTAGAACTGTGATGGCAAACCTATGACACACATGCTGGGAGTAGCACACAGAGCCATTACTGCTGGCACATGAGCCCTCACCCAGAGGAGGTCTGCTGCACCCAACAGCTGATTGTTGGATATCTGGTGCGCATGCACAGGCGTGCACTAGAGATGTGCACGCATGCGCAGGTGGAGTGGGGAAGGCCTCCACGCGCATTGCCTTCTTGGTGCTGGCCCGCAGAGCCCAAAAAGGTTAGTCACCACTACCTTAGGACCACTGCAGCCAGGTTCCCCACATCCTGACACCTGTTGTGTGCTGCCCAACTTCTGCTGCCATTTGCAGTAAGCCACTGTGCGAGTCAGGCAGTGGCGAGGGAGGCCTAGCTGTAGCAGTAAGCGGGAGCAGGGCACATGGGGCAGCTTCACCTCCCCACCTCTGCCCTAGTGGGACTTAACTAGGGCTTATTTTGGGGGTACAGCTTGTATTAGGTAGAGACGTGTATTGTTTTCAAGTAGTTCGTATTTTCAGGGAAACACAATTTGTGTGCATGTATGTACGTGTGTGTATGTATACACACACACACACACACACACACACACACCTATGCACACACACATTAAGGGGCTTCCAATTCTACTTTATATTTTTCTAATAAACAACAACAAACAGCATTGTCCTCTGGGCAGAACTGAATCTAAATCTTTTTTGGTTAAGACAAATATCAGCCCTTCCAATTTATCCCATCAAATTAATCTTTTTTGTTTTAATTTTTTAATTGGATAATTCATTTCCCAACAAAGAGTATTTTTTTCCTCAAACACCGGAAGATGAAAGAAACACAAACCAGCCTTGGGACTTATTTCATAGGATCATATGGCTAGAAGAGATCTTGGAGTTCTTCTACTCCAGGGGTACCAAACTCAAGGCCCGGGGGGTGGATCCCACCTGCAGGGTACTTAGATCTGGCCCACAGGGCTGCTCTGGAAACAGTGGACTGGCCCACAGTGCCTCTGCCAGCGAAAACAGAGCTCAAGAGGGCCATGCCCAGGCTGTTTTCACTGGCAGAGGGCTGCAGGAGGCCGTCACAGCCGAAAATGGAGCCTCAATGAGTGACATTGAGCTGGCCACGCCCACTCTGGCCATGCCTCCAAGGTCAAACACAATCGTGATGTGCCCCTCAATGAAATAGTTTGATACCCCTGTTCCACTCTAACCCTTTGCTCAAAGCAGGAATCCTTATAACATCCTGAGAAAAATGGTTGTCCAACTTTTTTTGAAAACCTCCCACAACTCCAGGAGGAAAGCTGTTTCATTGACTGTTTTCACTTGACAGAAGCTATGGTTTTATTTATAGTTCTTAATAAGTTTTGTTATCCATTCATTTAACAGATTGTTTTACTTTACATGGCACAATTTGTCTAGAATCGAGAGATAAATAAATAAATCTTACCAATAAGCTTCAATTCCTGATCAAGGCGTGATTTTTCAAAAGGCCGCCTGGGGGTAACGTAAGTCTTCCGACATACCCAACTCCTGGCAACTGGCATTCTGCCCTAAAGAGACAGAACCCAAACCTATGGTCAAACAATATATTTTAAACAAATGCAAGCCATGTAACACAATGAAATCACTATTTACATACCACTCAAATTTGTAGCAGACTCAACTGATAAAACAGATTCGGTTCTAAGTGGTAGTCTCATCCAATATAAATGAACATTACCTAATTATCTGCATGACTATTTCATAAACCAAATTCATCTTTCAGTTCAGTTAGATCTGTCTCACCTTACCAATTTATTCTCCACTGCTTCAAGTCAGAAATCATGTTATTTTCCCCTTTCTCTTTGACTAACTAGACTTTACTTCAGAGGAAGGTAGAAAAATATTTCCACACAAAACCAAACCAATTTTTTTTTTCATTTAAACAGATGGTCTAGACATGCACATAACACAGTAATTGCTGTTGATAAACATGTCCTACTGCCAAATTAGGATAGGATCTTAAAAGGATGGATAAAACCCCACAGAAGAGATGAAAGAAAGAAAAAACCCAGCTTTCATGGTGCTTATGGAGCTTTTTTATAAAACTTTATGAATTATTCACGAATTTACTAGATTAATACGAAGTAAAACTTCCCAGTTAAGGGAACTGAATGAAATACAGTATGTATAGTTTACAAACAGGGCAGCCTACTCCCACCATTTTCATTCCTAGGTTTACTTTGCACCACCTCACAGTATTCATGTAACCTGCACTGCTTCTTAGGATGTTCTCAAGGGAGGAAAATTGTACTTCGATATATTAACACTTCAAAACCCACCAGTTTGCTCTGAATGGATAAGGCCTTCACTCCCTACACACAGTTATACAGAATTATCAGCATTTAGCCACTCACAAAACTTTCAATAGACTCCATCATAATCTTATTTTTAAATGCTTTTAGGTGGCCTTGTATGTCTTTATTGTATATTGCCCAGTCATTCATGTCAGAGGATGGGGCATATAAATTTGATAATACAAAATTGATCTTTCACTTCTCCCAAATTTCTGAGTTAGAAAATAAACCCTGTTTTTGGTATCTTTTTCTAACGTTGCCCTTAAGTCAGATGGGGGAGGGCACTTGAAGATAACCAAGCTTTTCAATTCAGGTTTAAGGGTCTATTCCCAAAGCAGTTTCACATCTAGAAACCAAGTTACAAGCGTCAAGAGGAGTCACTAATTCCAGGGAGGGATATCAACAAAGATGCATGAGCTGGTTAACCTATAGAACAAGTATCTTCAAATTTGGTAAGTTTAAGACTTGTGGACTTCAACTCCCAGAATTCCTGATCTAACATGACTGGAGGAGGAATTTTGGGAGTTGAAGTCCACAAGTCTTAAAGCTGTCAAGTTTGATAGATCCCTGGTATATATAGAGCATCTAACAAAAAAAGTCAGGCCCGAAAAGGGGGAACATGTTGGGAACTCCTATAATCAATCCCTCGTTCTCAGATGTGCTGGCGGAAACGCCTTCTAAGCTGCCATTTAGCAACTCCTGAAGGATAGGACGGCCACGATGCCGGAGCGAGATATCCCTGCTGAGCTCGCAAGGGGAAACGCACAAGGCCGCTTTCGAGGCCGACGCACGCGCAGGAAGCCGGGGACGGGTAGAAAATGGAGGCTCGAGCGCCAAGCTTCCCAAGCGCATGCGCTCCGCCGCTTGCCAGTCGTAGGCCGCGAGACTCTTTTCTTAATGAATTTTTTTCGATCGGTCGATCAGTCGATCGACGCTTCGCTCCGTTTACCCGGTTCGACTCGGTAATACGAGTTCTAGCCTTGCAAGATAAAGCTCCCTTACCTACCACCTCAGGCACCAACGAGAACCAGGAAAGAAAAAGAAGGGGTTAATACGGGGAGTCTGCTTTTATAGGACTGTGAGCAGCTCCGCCTTCTCTCTCTTCTGGCCAGTAGAAATAAGACTTTTTTCACGCCTGGCCTATTGGCGACGAGGAGCCAGCCAATGAGCGTTGGATTTCCGTGTGACAGAGAAACTGGCTAAAAAGCTAATGACGAAAGTACTACGCGGCATTACGGCTCCTTCTTCTTTAAGGCTGGATCTCTGCTTAAACGAGATCTCGCGGTTATATCAGTCCCAACCAGAGGGACGTTATCGCCGACTGAGTGATGTCATCGCCGAATAAGCTTAGAATTCTAAGCGTGTGCTGCCTTCCGACGAAAGAGTTTTCTAGCCGACTTCTCAAAACATTCATTCCCCCCCCCCGCCAGCCCGTTGTTCCCCAAATGAACTGAGCTTCCGCTCCCATAATTTTCTGACGGTGTCATTCTGGTGGAGGAATTATGCAAAGTTGTTTTAACAAGGCTACCTGTGCAATTTCATCTAAACCCCACGAGTCAGGACTTGCGAGTCTTTACTAGGGCAAAACATCTGAACCTGCTTCCACTAACGCGCGGTTGCACACGTGCGATGTATAAAATGTGTGTTTATTATGTATTCTCCACTCTACTTGTTGCAGAGTACCTTATGCCACCAGATTTGAAATTCTAGACCTATAAAATCTAGAACTACGCTGCCTTCGCTCCGATCTAAGTATAGTATATAAAATATACTACTACTACTAATAAGTATAGTACACAAAATCATACATTGATACATACTGCTACCCTTCAAAAAGACCTTAACTATGTATCAGAATGGTGAAACAAATGGCAACTTCAAATCTCAACAAAGAAATGCTCTTTCTTACATATTGGCAAAAAAAAATCAGAAAATAAAATACAGGCTGAATAGTCAAGACCTTGATGATCCAAACTCTGTCAAGGATCTTGAAATACTCATCTCTTATGATCTAAATGCTAGAGCCCACTGTAACTACATAGCCAAAAAGGCATTAAGAGTGGTTAACCTAATCTTACATAGCTTTTTCTCTGGTAATATTACACTAATACCTAGAGCATACAAAACATTTACTAGGCCAATACAGCTCATCAGTCTGGAACCCACATTACGTATCTGATATTAACACAGTTGAGAAAGTCCAGAAATATTTCACCAGAAGAGTTCTCCACTCTTCTACTCATTGCAGAATACCTTATGCCACCAGACTTGAAATTCTAGAACTAGAAAACCTAGAACTACGCTGCCTTCGGTCCGATCTAAGTATAGTATATAAAATCATACATTGCAATGTCCTATCTGTCAATGAATACTTCAGCTTCAACCACAACAATACAAGAGCAAACAATAGATACAAACTCAAGGTTAATCGCACCAATCTTGATTGCAGGAAATACGACTTCAGCAACAGAGGTGGTCAATGTCTGGATACTCTACCTGACTCTGGTTTTTTCCCCAAACCCCAAAAACTTTAACCTTAGACTGTCTACTATTGACCTCACCCCTTTCCTAAGGGATCTGTAGGGGGGGTGCATAAGCACACCAACATGCCTACTGTCCCTGTCCTATTCTTTCTTTTTATTTTTCTTATATGTATCCATTTCATGTATTCATAACTATGTTTATTATATAATCACTTGACAAATAAAATAAATAAATATATATATTGTACCGAATCATTCACTTTAAATGATCAGGTTTAATGCCTAAACATTTCTTGTATTGTTTCTTTTTACTTTCCTCTCATTCATTTCACTATTTCCTTTGAGCCTTTTTTGGCAATACTAATGTATTATTACAATGTTTTTATACATCAACATCTTAATAGTCCCTGTAAAGTATCAAAATGAAAACTATACTTTATTAACAGTGCAGATAATGTATTACCTTATTATTACACAATGAAAATTATTTTTTGAGGAATCATCTTGCCCAAACTTTGGTCCATTTGCTCTGATTTAATCTTTTAAGATACTTGGCCTGTATGATTGAATCTGCATTTTACATGTTGCTGTTCATTTGAGAGAGAAACCGCCTGCAATCTGTGTTGCATTAGTTGGTTCTTTCTAATGACTATCTGACTTTCTGCCTACCAATTTTTTTCATTTTGACTGAGGAAGTTACTTGGATGAGTAACAAAAAGTCTCAGTTTTAATAAATGTTGGACCAGTTGCCATGGTTTAACCTTTCAAGATACGTTTGTCCTGGATGTCCCAAAGATGGTTTTTCAAGAGAAAACTTGACTTTCTTTCATTCAAGAAGTTCTAATTGAATGGTGGGGAATGGAAGGATTTATATTCTTTGCAGACAAATAGTCATTTGCATTCTTTTAGAAAGTCCTTGAGGCCACTTGGAAGTTTGTTTTTCTTAGAGTCACCTAAGGTCACCCAAATGTGTGCGACGTCTTCTTGGCTGCAGGATGTTTTCTGCCCTGTGATCCTTCACTGTTGAAGACAGCACAGGCTGTTAGGGAAAGTCTATGTTGTCTGATCTCAAATTGAAGGGCAAATGGTTCCTGTAGTCTGCAGTTTTTCTGGAAATCTGTTCATGCACCCACACCATTCAAAGGGTGTTCATCCCAGAATGCATTCCCCACCATCTAGTCAGAACTGAAGAAGCTTCTTGGATAAGAAGTGAAATGTCTTCAAAGAAAAACAAGAAAGTCCAGTTGCCTCCCGAAAAAGCACCTTTGGGACAATCATGACGCGGATGACTGAAAATCTCCATAGACTTTTGGCCTCGATTATTGAATCTTCGTTTACATCAAGAATGAATGGAGGCTGAATGAATGTGGCTTGTGTATAAAGTGAGCAATCGGTGTGGATGAAGTGCATTCTGCGAGAGAGAATCAACAATATTTGAAAGAGTAAATAGGTCAAGAGGAAGGTGAAAACTAACAAAGCTGTAAGTGGATGTGTTAAATCAGTGTGGATGAGGAAGGAGCAGGACTCAGGAATGCGAGGAACTCTTTATTTAAAACCGGCATCAAAAAGTAAACAAACGCGGCCAGCGCTGGCTTTTTTATAGCTGGTGCTGTCCAACACTTCAGCCACTGGCAGGCACCCAATCTTCCCGCCAGCGGCTGAACCAATAAATGGAGTCTAATATCAGACTCCACTTTGCATATGATGTGAACTCATGTAAATGTAGTGTCATGCATATTTAACACCCCTCCCCTCTTAGTTCAGGCCGACCAATCACTGCATACAGGGCAGATGTAGTCCTTCAGGTAGGCGGGGCTCCTATGAGTGCGACTAGGCCTGCGCGGTTCAGTTGTTCCTGAGGTGGCGGCCTGAGTGGACAGGTCGACCACTGCTCCAGACTCCACCCTTGGAAGCGTCTAAAAACTTTCCGGCGGCGTGGCAGTTTCCGTTGAGCTGGAGGCTTCAGAAGTACTACGCTGAACTCCTCCCCCCACAGCTAAATCCTTCGCTGTTTTGTTCAGGGTTGCCCTTGATAACATGTGTCTTTGTGGGGTTTCTAATTTCCGGGATTTTGTGGTTGTCGGAGATGTGTTGTGTTCTTCAGCTTTGGGTGGGGGTCAAATTATGTGGCCCTGCAGTTGGTCTATGTGACTGTTCCATGTTCTTCCCCTTTCTACCTCCCGTCTGTATGATCTGAGTCCGGTGCTTTCAATTATTTTTGCCAGGACCCAGATTTCCCCTCCTGTGTAGTTGTGTGCATACACTGTGTCTTCCGGTGTGAATGTTCTGCACTTCCCTGTGGAATCTAGAGGGGTGTCGTTTGTATAGTTTGGATGGATTCTGTCCAGTGTGGACCTTAATTTTCTATTCATGAACATTTCTGCTGGGCTCCTGTTTGTTGCTGCACTGGTTGTTATGTGTTGGGTTAGCAACAATTTGTCAATTTTTTCTTGCCAATCTCCAGGGCCTAATTTTTTAAGAAGTTCTTTGGTCATTTGGACTATCCTCTCCACTTGCCCATTTGCCGCAGGATGAGCTGGTGCTGATAGGACATGGCGGATTCCCACATGGGTGAGGAAGCTTTTGAATTGCTATGCTGTGGATTGCGGTCCATTGTCCAAAAACAGCACATCGGGTAGCCCTCGGGTGCAAATATTTTTCGCAGGGCTCTGATCGTTGCCTTGGTTGTTGTGGATTTCATGATCTCCATTTCCAACCATTTAGAGTAGGCATCAACCACGATTAGGAACGTTTGTCCCTGGCAGGGTCCTGCAAAGTCTATGTGTATGCGACCTCATGGTGCTGCAGGCTTTTCCCACTGGGGAGCGGGGTGCTGAGGGAGGGGCCGGTCAGGATTCCTGACATGTGGAGCATGTGGCAACCCAGGTCTCAATGTCTCTGTATATTCCCGGCCACCAGATGTAACTCCTTGCTAGGGCCTTCATTTTTACTATTCCTGGATGTCCTTCATGTATTAATCGCAAAATTCTTTCCCTTAATGGTTGCGGTATCACCACCCTGTCTCCCCATAACAAACACCCCCTTAATGCTGACAGCTTTAGCTGTCTGTCTTTGAAAAGCTTGAATTCCTCTCCTTCCGTCTTTTTCGGCCAACCTCGCCATACCGAGTTCAAAACTCGCGCCAATGTTTTGTCCTTTTGGGTGAGTCTCGTGATGTCTGCTGCTGTGAATAAACCCAGTTTGAAATGTTCTATGAGAAATATGGCAGTCTGGAAGGGGGTATCTGCTGAGTAGTAGGATGTTCTTTCCTGGTCTGTGTAGGAGGCTATAGTTATACGCTGCCAGGAATACTGTCCATCTGACCATTCTCAGCGATAAGATGTTGGGTGTGGGTTTGTCACCTGAGAGAATGCTGAGCAGTGGTTTGTGGTCTGTGACCAACTTGAAGTGTCTGCCATATAGGTATTTGTGAAAATGTTTCACTACGGCTACGGCGGCAAGGGCTTCTTTGTCTATTTGGCCGTAGTTTCTCTCGGCTTTTGACAAAGTCTTAGAATAATGGGCTATGGGAGCTTCCTTCCGATTCGATAGTCTATGGCTCAGTACT